TGTATTTATTTTAGAGTGTTATCAATCTTGCCAAACAATTATGTTGAAGATTAGGTCACAGCTTTAAAAGGTAGGTATATTCTAGACACCCCAAAACGTTAACATCTATTTGAAGTGGAAGAAAGCAGAATCTTAATATTTTTTTCAAAACTATAAACCTTCCTCTGAAAGACAAATATCAATTTTTCTTTTTCCTATAGTGTCGTAGGCAGTGTTTTTGTCTGAGCCATGTGGAGTGGTATAGAAGGCACCTTCCTAGGTAGGATTAGAGGTGAACTCCGTGGCCATTGAAGAGCGTTTCTCTTTGTAACTAGCATGGTAAGCACAGCATCATCGATAGCATATGCTACCTGACTGAGCAGACTGACTTAGTTATACACTTAGGGGATCTGTATTCGGGCCTAAAGAGTAGAGGTTAAGTGTCAAGAACAGATTTTCCCTTGCTTACAAATGAACAAGGTGGCCTACCAGAGGATACAAGATATCCTGGGTCAAACACCAAAGACTTTGTTACTCCAAGCAGATGAGCTTCACGTTCATGTCAGTTCCCCTTGCTCCCAAGTCCCACAGGGGTGACATAGAGTGGCCCAGATGGATATTGCACACTCAGTGGATTTATGTGGTGGCTGACAAATCAAAAATTTAGGAAACCAGCCAGGTGCAGTGACTCATGCCTGTAATCCCAGCACTTGGGGAGGCTGAGGCAGGCAGATCACCTGAGGTCAGGAGTTTGAGACCAGCCTGGCCAACACTGCACTCCAACAGGGGCGACAGAGTAAGACTCCATTTCAAACAAACAAAACTTTAGGAAACCCCCTTCTTTTATGATGTGGTGTAAGCAAACCTGCCCAATCTCTGCTCCATATGGAAGCATCACCTTTATTACACTGGAGAGCCAACACACCTGCCCTCCCCGCTGCAGATGAATACTATTTCAGTTTGCCAAGGTTGTTCTCAGTACAAACATCCTTCGAGATGTCCAGAAAGAAGGTGGTTTAGTGCCTCTGCTGGCAGTATAGTCAGAAATAAGAGAAACCCATGGAGAAATTGTTACTAAGTTTCCACATATACCTATTGGGTTACCTATCCCACCATCTCTGAGTGGCAGCTAATGTTCCTAGAATATCAGCTGCTTTTGTCAAGTCAACATTTTAGGTTTAGGGCCTGGCTTAGTATTTCCTTTTTGTAATGGTTATGTTTATGTATTTATTTATTTTTATTTTATTTTATTTTTTATTTTTTTGAGACGGAGTCTCGCTGTGTTGCCCAGGCTGGAGTGCAGTGGCCGGATCTCAGCTCACTGCAAGCTCGGCCTCCCAGGTTTACACCATTCTCCTGCCTCAGTCTCCCGAGTAGCTGGGACTACAGGCACCCGCCACCTCGCCGGGCTAGTTTTTTGTATTTTTTAGTAGAGACGGGGTTTCACTGGGTTAGCCAGGATGGTCTCGATCTCCTGACCTTGTGATCTGCCTGTCTCAGGGCCTTTCTCTGATGCCTCAACTGTAATGTGGTGGGAACATGGCTTACTGCAGCCTCCACCTCCTAGGCTCAAGCAATCCTGCCATCTCAGTCTCCTGTGTAACTGAGACTACAGGTGCATGCCACCTCCCAAAGTGCTAGGATTACAGGCATGAGCCATTGTGCCTGGTTTCAAATGAATTTTTATCTTAACAATATGCAAAGATTAATTCAAAATGGATCATATACTTTTTGATGTAAGATATAGAACATAGAACTTCTAGAAGAAAACATAAGAGAAAATCTTTATGACCTTAGACAAATATTTCTTATGTAAGACATGAAAAGTACAATCCGTAAAAGTAAAAGTTGATATATTAGACTTCATCAAAATTTAGAACATCTACTTTTTCGAAAACACAGAAGAATAAAAGACAAGCCACAGCTGGGCATGGTGGCTCACACCTGTAATCCAAGCACTTTAGGAGGCTGAGGCAGGCGGATCACTTGATCCCAGGAGTTTTAAGACCAGCCTGGGCAACACAGCTGAACTTCATCTCCACAAAAAATTTAAAAAGCCAGACACGGTGGTGTGGGCCTGTAGTTCCAGCTACTCGGGAGGTGGGGGTGGAAGGATAATTTGAGCTAGGGAGGTCAAGGCTGCAGTGAGCTGTGATTGCACCACTGTACTCCAGCCAGGGCAGCAGAGGGAAACCCTGTCTCAAAAACAACAACAAACAAAACAAAAAACAAAACAAGTCACAGACCACAGATTGGGAGAAAATACTTGAAAATCGTGTATCCAACAAAGGATGGTGTATCTATTTTTCATTAGAGTCAGCATAAAATATTTCAGAATTTTCAGCATTACTGTAAAACAGTAATGTGGGCTGGGTGTGGTAGCTCACACCTGTAATCCCAGAACTTCAGGAGGCTGAGGTGAGAGGATTGCTTGATCCCACAGGTTTGAGACTAGACTGGGCAACCTAGTGAGACCTCGTCTCTATATTTTAAATAAACAAACAGCATATGTAGCATGATTTCATTTGTGTAAAACTATACATCTCTGTGGGTATATATGCATAGAAACATCTAGAAAGATGATTATCAAAATGTTAACAGTAGTATCTGAGTGGCAAGATTTTAGGTGATTTTTTCTTTATTTTTTATACTTGTTACACTGGTTTTTTTTGTTTGTTTGTTTTGTTTTTGTTTTTTTACAGTGGACATGTATGACTACAATCAGACAAAGGCCACCCCAAAAAAAGCCGTGTCTTAGTTGTATTCTTTTTTCAACATCTTTATGTTTTTACCTGAAAGATTGGTTATATTTATTATTAAAGGAAAATATTTTGTTTAATATGGTAATTATGTTGCAGAAAACCTTGTCAGAGGTTGAAAGAGATCTGAAAAATTCTGAAGCTGTATCTAAGACTCAAACCAAAGGCAAAAGGATGGTTATTCAGGAAATAGAAAACTCTGAAGATGAAGAAGGAAAAGACAGCGAAAGAAAACATGAAGATGGCAGTGGAGATAAGAGTAAAATATCTTTTCTATTTAGGTTATGTAAAAAACTGCCTTTTTATATGATGAGCTGGCTCAGTTTTTCTATTTGTACAGAAATTCGTAATCTACCAAAGTTTTTCTAGCTTTGCCTTGTAAATTCACAAGCCAGCTTCGCTCATCTTTTTCTTAATACAGCTTGACAGAATCTCTCAAACCCATTTTCCTTCTTAACCTGTCACCTTTTTCTAGTGCTCAGTTTAATTCCTGGTCACCACCTTTAAATGTAAATGACTGTGTTCATATGACACAAACCATTTGCAAGTTAACCTTAAATATCTCTCTTTGATAATTGTTTTGTATGTATCTTCTTGACTGCAAACAAATGTGTTGGTTTCAAAACAGGTATGGGTAGCCCCATTTATATGCCAAAAATGAATGCATTACTAGAAAATTGCTATGTGTGTTTCTCAAAAATATTTTAAATATGCAAAAGAAATAAGTATAATTTAACACTTGAAACAATATTTTAAGAGAATCTAGACTAGATAA